CCCGCCGCGCTGCCCTCGCCGCCGGCGCCGCCGACACGGCCGCGGAAGGCCCCCGGGCTGCCCTGGCTGCCTGTCCCGACAGAGCCCCCACCCGCGCCCGCCGTCAGCGCCCACCCCGCGGGGAGAGGGAAGGAAGAAGCCGGGGAGGGTCCCGGCGGGGTCCCGGTGGCCGCGGGCCGGGCCGGGCCCCTCGGGGCGGCGGGGACGGTTCGATCAGGCGCGACCGGGGCAGCCCCCGCCGGGGCCTCGCGCCGCGCTGCACGGTCGCTATGGCGACGGGAGGGGAGCGCGCGCGGCGAAGGGAGCTCGGGGCTGTCGCGATAGAGAGCGGCTCCAGGGGCCGGCGTCTGTCGGGGCCCGGCGGGGCTGTCGTGACACAGTGAGGGGCCCCCGCAGCCGGCGGTGGGTCGAGGGCTGGCGGGGCTGTCGCGATAGAGTGAGGGGCTCCAGGGGCCAGTGGTGTGTCGGGGCCCGGCGGGGCTGTCGCGATAGTAGCGGGGTTCCCGGTTGCCAGCCATGTGCGAAGCCTGGGAGGGCCGCTGTGACAGGAGTGAGGGTCCCCGGGGTTTGGTGGTGTGTGCGGCCCATCAGGACTGTCGCGACAGGAGTGGGGTTCCCAAGGCCAACCCTGGCAGGACTAGATGACACCAATTTAAGCAGGAGTGTTGACTCCCAGGAGGAGAGGGAAGCTTTGCAAGAGGATCTAGAGAGATTGGATTACTGGGCCAATGCCAATGGAATGAGTTTCAACAAGGGCAAGTGCAAGGTCCTGCACTTGGGCCACAACAACCCCCTGCAGCGCTACAGGCTGGGGGAAGTGTGGCTGGAGCTGCCTGGAGGAAAGAGACCTGGGGGTTCTAGTTGACAAACGGCTGAACATGAGCCGGCCGTGTGCCCAGGGGGGCAAGAAAGCCAATGGCATCCTGGCTTGTATCAAAAATAGTGTGAGCAGCAGGAGTAGGGAGGTGATTGTGCCCCTGTACTCAGCACTGGGGAGGCCACACCTCGAGTGTTGTGTCCAGTTTTGGGCACCTCAATCCAAGAGAGATCTGGAGGTGCTGGAGCGAGTGCAGAGGAGGGCAACGGAGCTGGTGAGGGGGCTGGAAAACAAATCATATGAGGAGCGGCTGAAGGAGCCGGGGCTGTTTAGTGTGAGGAAGAGGAGGCTGAGGGGAGACCTCATCACTCTCTACAACTACGTGAAAGGACACTGTAGAGAGGTTGGTGCTGGTCTCTTCTCACAGGTAATTAGTGACAGAACGAGAGGGAATGGCTTCAAGCTCCAACAGGGGAGGTTTAGACTGAACATTAGGAAGGAATTTTTCACCGAAAGAGTGGTCGGGCATTGGAACAGGCTGCCCAGGGAGGGGGTGGAGTCCCCATCCCTGGCTGTGTTTAAGGGCCGTTTAGATGCAGTGCTGAGGGACATGGTGTAGGGGAGGACTTTGTAGAGTAGGGGAGATGGTTGGACTCGATGATCCCAAGGGTCTCTTCCAACCTAGACCATTCTATGATTCTATGACTATCGTGATAAGGGTAAGGGTTGTCACAACAGGAGTGGGACCCCCAGGGCCAGCCCCTCAGGACTGTTGTGACAGGAGTGAGGCCTCCCAGGCCAGCCCTGGCAGGGCTGTCGTGACAGGAGGGGGGTCCCCCTGCGCCCAGGGGTGGCCGGATCTCCCATGTCACCTCCCGTCCCCACAGGCCTCGGCCGTCCCCGCGGAGATGGAGGTGGACGGGGCCCTGGACCCCGCGGTGCTGGAGCGGGAGCTGCGGGCGGCGGTGGCGGCCGACGAGAAGCGGGAGCGGGAGAACGAGGCCAAGCTGCGGGCCCTGCGCCAGCGCGTCCCCTCCTACCAGGAGTTCAGGTCCGGGGGGGGATGCCCAGGGTGGAGGGCGGGGGGGATTCAGGTCCTTTCCGACCCCAATGGGCTTTGTTGACACCGTCACCTTGCCCAGTGCTGGGAGCCATGGGGCTGACCCAGCCCACGGGTGGGTTTTGGAGCTCCTTCTTTTGAAGCTCCAATTTTGGGACCTCTGAAGAGAAAGGTTTTGACCTTGCTGCAAGAGGGAATTGAGCTGTGCTTTCTGCTCCAGGGGACCATGAGTGCATCTTGGCAGAGCAGCAAACCCGAAAAGGGGGGTCCCGAAAAGGCCCTGGCTGTGGGACACAGAGCCCTGGTGGGACAGAAACTCAGCCTTGCTTAAGATTTGTCCCACAAAAATCATCAGGTTGATGTGTGTGGGCTGAGATCTCAGCCATTCCTGCCTGGAACAGCTGGCTCCAGGACTGGTCCTCATGGTGGCCAAGCTGTGGACCAGCAGTGGGGTGGCACAGTTCCCTCTCTCCACATTCCCAGGCACAGCACCCACCCTCCAAGCCCCACTGGCCTGTCCTGCCCTCCCTTTCCTCCCCACACACCCCGTGCCATGGCACTGGTGCAGAAGAGGGTGACATGTGTCCCCGTGCGCCCCACCCAGCATGTTCATCCTCCCAGGTTTGGGAGGTTTGGGAGCAGGTTTGTGGCCTGGAGATGGCAGGGATGCTCCGTGGAGGCACTCCCAAGGCCACCAAAGTCCTGGATCCACCTTTAGTTCCATCTGGAGAAGTCCCTGGCCCTTGACATGCACAGACAGATCTGTTGGTGGATCCAGGAGTTTGCCCACCCCATGTTAGACTTCTGTGGGACTAGATCAAATTCCTTTCACGGCGTCGTCTCTGCCTGCATTCAGTTGTGCTGTCTGATCCCTGAAAGGCAGGAAAACACTTAAAAATGGTATTTTCTCCCCCAGTCTTCTCGCCAGCCCTACAAAAGGATTCCCGAGTGATTTTAAATTGTTTTATCAGGGTATTGGTAACAGTAAAGGTAATCTGAGGGAGGGAAGGGAGCAGCTCTCTGTGGGTGCAGCATCTTTACTCGCGCAGCCCACACTCGCACAGGAGCAGAGACCTGCACCCCTTCAAAGATCTCCTGCCAATTGTGGGGAGGGCAAACAGCAGGGATTCATCCCACGGGATGTGAGGAACCACATGAGCTGCTGAGTCCGGGCTGCTGTAGTTAAGTCACAGATATCAGTGTAATAAGATGCTGAATTCCAATGAATCCATACCTGCTCAGCGTGCTGCATGCTACAAAACAGTCCCAAGGTGCTGTAGGAATTTAGGGTAAGAATTTTCCTGTGGAAGTGCCAAAGCCACAGAAACCTCAGTGTACAGTAAGAAAAAAGCAGGAGGAAACAACATCCTGCCAGTTCCTCAGGCTCTAGCTCTGGAGGAACTGTTGGATGGAAATGCCCAGCTCCTGGGGCGCCAGCCATCCCTGTGTTGCAGGGAAATCGCCATGGTGTTGCAGGGAAATCGCTGTCTCGTGAGCCCTGATCACTGGATTAACTCAAGTGTCCCATGCAACATCTTCTGTTTTCCTCTGACCCATCTCTGATGCTTCATGATCTCATTTGAATCCCAGTCTTGTTTCATAGAATCACAGCATGGTTTGGGTTGGAAGGGACCTTAAAGCTCATCCAGTCTCACCAGCCCAGGTTGCTCCAAGCCCCCTCCAACCTGCCCTTGAACCCCTCCAGGGATGGGGCAGCCACAGCTTCTCTGGCCAACCTGGGCCAGGCTCTCACCACCCTCACACCAAACAAGTTCTTCCCCACAGCTCAGCTCCATCTCCCCTCTTGCAGGGTCAAACCCTTCCCCCTCCTCCTAGGGCTCCCCTCCCTCATCCAGAGTCCCTCCCCATCTCTCCTGGAGCCCCTTGAGGGACTGGAAGGGGCTCCAAGGTCTCCCCGGAGCCTTCTCTTCTCCAGGCTGAACCCCCCAACTCTCTCAACCCCCCCTCCCAGCAGAGGGGCTCCAGCCCTCCCAGCATCTCCGGGGCCTCCTCTGGCCCCGCTCCAACAGCTCCATGTCCTTCTGCTGGTGGTGGCCCCAGAGCTGGAGGCAGCACTGGGGGGGTCTCCCCAGAGCGGAGCAGAGGGGCAGAATCCCCCCCTGGCCCTGCTGCCCACGGGGCTGGGGATGCAGCCCAGGGTGTGGGGGATTTCTGGGCTCCAGCGCACGTTGAGGGGCGTGTGGAGCTTCTCACCCACCAACACCCCCAAGTCCTCCTCAGGGCTGTTCTCATTCCCTTCATCCACGAGTCTGTAGTGATACCAGGGGTTGTCCTGACCCAGCTGCAGGACCTTGCACTCGCCCTGGTTGGACTTCATGAGGTTCACATGGGCCCACTCCTTCAGCCTGTCCAGGTCCCTCTGGATGATACATGTGGCCCAAACTCAGAAATAGCCTCAGAGAAGAAGCTCGAAGCCTTGAAGTATTTGATCTTGGTAAGTATCCCAACCCCTTCTTGTTGCCTGCAGGAACATTGTGCTGGCATCACACCTGAAGCCTCTAGAGAAGAAGGACAAGATGGGTATAAGGAGGAACGTGCTGTGGAATCCCTGTGCAGCCAACACCAAGGCCCCTCAAGCCAGCAACGTGGAAATATCCCAGGTGAGGGAGATGCTTTCCAGGACCTTGTCCACACGTAGAAATACTCCAGAATAACTTGGGTATTATATTAAAATGTGAGAGTTATTCCGAAATGTCTCTATGTATGAGCAAGCCCTTGAAGTCCCCAGGAGTGTCTAGACAACCAGGGTTCAGTCTTGGCCCCTACTTTGCGTCTGAGAAGAGCTTGCACCAGCTGCTTCAAGAAGAGTCTGCTTCAGCCCTGGGGGAATCTAAGACCAGCTGCACACCAGAGCTCCCAATACCCCGCCTCTGCTGGTGGCCAGTAACAGATTCTTGGGGAAGAGTGCCCTCCCTTGACCGCTCTCCTCCAGCTGGCTGCGGTCTGGAGAGCGGGCGCCAGCGCCGTGCAGCTGGAGCATCACATTTAACAGCCACCGACCACAGAACTTGGGTGAACGTAGCCAGGTCTTTTTCACCCTGCGGTTTAATTATGCATGATACAGAAAAGTGCTGTTTGGTTTAAAACCTGCTGCCTGATGGGTTCACCGGATGCTTCTTCAGATGCGGGAAGTAGTGACTAAACATTTTCCATCCAGCTCATTTGGGATTTGAGTGACATCCGTCCCGTCCCCTTTGGTGGACTCTGCCCACGCGGGAGAGTCCTGCTCACTGGACGTGGACATGATCTTTCTCATGGATTTTTTTGACGCTGAATTTCATTTGCTGTTTGTTATGAGATCTTCTTGCAGCTCTTCGAGGCAGCTTTGTGTTTTCTTGGACTGTGCAGTGATCTCCCCAGAGCAAATTCTGTTCCTAATCCCGTTAGCGCTGGGGCTCTGATCTCCAGGGCTCCTCCGTTTTGTGTTTAGACACAGCCTGACGTTGCTGCGCCTTGTTCTCGCTATCTGTATAAAAGCCTAAACATCTTAATCCTCCTTCAGTCTGTGCGTCAGTTAAGTCAGCGGCGATGAGTTCAGCAGTTCAATTACATATTATATAAAACAGGATTTCCTTTTATCTGGAGATGCCACATTGAGCTTGGCTCTCTCTCGCAGTGCAAGCTCTCTGCCACGTACCCGTACGAAGGCAGTGTGTGACGAGACGGTGTGTTAGGGCCATCTGCATGTTTTCTGGGGTTTACATCTCATATCTTTCATCTCCTCACTCCTTTGATTCGCCTCACAGCGCTTAAGATGGAGCAGAAGTTTACACTGAGCTACCCTGATCTCCAGGAGATCCCTCCCAAGCAGTGATGGTGGATCTGGACTGGGCAGGGTGTCTGGTTCTGGTTAGGGTTACACCTTTACTGGTCTGTATTTGTCCACGCTGGGCTTCATATCTCATCCATTCCTCCATTATTTTCCCCTGAAGTTCTCTGGTTTCTATGGGGCTTGAGGAACCTGGTATTTCTTTGTCTTCATGCATTGCCACCCCCCAAGCTTTATCACCCTTTGTGCTGTCAAAGCCTGGATTAAAAACATCTCAGCCATCCACAGGTTGATCAGGGGAGGTGGGGCGGGGGGAGGGGAGATAAAAATCTTCAAGTGAGAACAAAACAAATAGAACTGCTAATTATTTTTTCCTTCAGGAGCTGAATCAACTGCCCGGAACCTCTGCCGAATTTTACAGAGATTGGCGCAGATGCTTAAAAACCGGAAAAGAAAAATACCAGTTTTTGCTTGGACTCGGAGGGAAGGCCTTGGGCAGAATCTTTCAGGCTGATTTGGGCTTTGGCCTCCTGGGTGAATTCCTGACGGTGCTGGCAGAGAACGTCTGTCGTGAAGACAGAGATGCTGTTCTTCAGATCTTACAGAGCCTTTCGGGCACCAAACGCTTCGGGTTAAACGTGGATCTTCTGAGTGAGTCGGAGAAGGAGAGCAGCAGGGATTTGTTTAGGAAGCTGCAGAGCATGAGCAGGGACTACTGGGCCACTGGCCATCCCAGCGGACTGGCCAGCTGCAAAGCAGAGAGGGAAGCCCACCTCACAGACACCAGCTTGCCAAAGGAAGCCCAGGAAAGGATAGTGATGGAGCTGATGAAATGTTACCAGGTCAACTGAAGGAGCAAAAGCACCAGGGTCGTGCAGAAACAGAGGGCAAAAGAGGCTCAAAGCTTAAATTCAGCATCAGACATCGTGCGAGACAGATAAATGGGAACTTCTGGACAGATAAATGGGTACTTCTGGACGTTGCTGTACATTTCTCTGTATCTGGGAGCTGCCCGGGGCACTAGTTCTGCACAAATAAAGGTTAGTTACCGAGAGGACTGTGCTGTGATCTCTGGGGCAGGGTGTCCTCACAGAACTGCTCTGTCACAATCTCTTAGATGAGGAAAAAAGTGAGGGAAAGAAAAACTAGGCTGCTATTTTTGAAAGAGAAACCAAAGCCCAAATAGTCCCTTACCTTTCTCGTCTCGGTCCATTGTCACTATGGGGGTTTAAAAGGTATGTAATCAATTAACTGTGCAGCCACTGAAGATAGAATGGGCAGATGGAGGTAGAAATGCTGTGCAAGGTGGGGTATCTGGGACTGTTCCAACCAGCTATTTTATTATTATTCTAGCCCAACCAGCAAGGCATGGGGTGAACCTCAGAGACCCTGTCACCTTATCATGGTCTTATGATCTCAGACACTGTCTGATTTGCTGAAATTCCACATCAATTGAAATTCAGAAGGAACTGGCAGGTATCAGTCCAACAAAGAGACTCTCCAGGACTGCCTAATGCCGTGATCAAATTGAGTAGCCTTTCTGTTTTGGCTGCAGACCTCAAAGGTGCCCTCATATGACACAGCTCAGCACCTGCCCACCAAGGTCTCTTGCAGTTCTGCTCCGGGAGGATCCTCAAGCTTCTCCTGAGCGTGCTGAGGAGCCCAGTGTGTGTTACAGTGCTCAGGCTCCCTTGAATTCAGCTCAAAAACAACTGCCAGGTCCATTTTGTTGCAAAACCCAGCTAGAGGAGCAAAAGGTAGAGTCACCCTGGCAGACTGTAACCATCCCTCTCCCTCCTTCTCCGTAGAAACCACCAGGCACCTGATTGATTCTTCTCTGAGGCCTGTCACTTGAATGTTGGGCTTTGTGACACCTCTCTTGGGGACATCTGTGTCCCTGCAATCTGTTGTGGGTGCTGTTCCTCTTGCCTTTGCCTAACGCTTGCAAACCTGAGGACTGGCAGAAAGCTGAGAGCTGGGGTCTTAAACAAAACAACGAAAATCCTGGAGTTTCCCAAGGTTGGGATGGAGGATGTTGATGCAGGAACAGCCCTGGCACGAGTTATAGCTTTGGTGGGAACAGCCACAGTGCTTTCAGCAGTCCCGAGGCTCAGGGCTGGCACTCATAACCTATGTCAAGGATGGGAGCAGCCTGCTGCATCCCCATCACCTGGGGAGGGACAAAATCCCTGTGGTTTGGTGAGAAAACTCAAGAGAAATGAAGTACAGGAGAGGTTGGATGAATGTTTATGGGAGGACAAGCTGTTGGACCAGCTGGGATCAGTTTCCCAATCGGAAATCCCATGGTCTGATCTGAGCATCTGCTCAAGAAGGACCAAAAGCTGAGCTGAAAGTCCAGCCAGGGTCAGTGGGGAGCAAATATCTCACCTTTGCCAGAGGAGAAATGCATTTAAGGCCTCCAGGGCTGGTTCCTGACATCAACCCTGTCCAGCAAGGGTTTTGTGAGCAAAAAGCCCTGCTTGATCACTCAGAGAGGGGGAATCTCAAACATGACCTGTGTGAAGGGGCTCCCACACACAAACCCATGGAGAACCGACAGGGACGATGGTGTAAATATCGTGTTTGAAACCTCTTCTGGGCTTCAGAGGTCAGAGAAGGTTCTTCTCCAGGTTTGTTGTGCTCAAAGGGATCAGACAAATAGAAGGTTCTTCTCCAGGTTTGTTGTGCTCAGAGGGATCAGAGAAATAATAATTAACATTTACCGCACGAGCCTTTCGAGAAGATGTGGGTGCTTCCCTTGGTCCCACCATGCTTTCTGTCGCTGCGTCTTCCCATCACCTGGGGAGGGACAAAATCCCTGTGGTTTGGTGAGAAAACTCAAGAGAAATGAAGTACAGGAGAGGTTGGATGAATGTTTATGGGAGGACAAGCTGTTGGACCAGCTGGGATCAGTTTCCCAATCGGAAATCCCATGGTCTGATCTGAGCATCTGCTCAAGAAGGACCAAAAGCTGAGCTGAAAGTCCAGCCAGGGTCAGTGGGGAGCAAATATCTCACCTTTGCCAGAGGAGAAATGCATTTAAGGCCTCCAGGGCTGGTTCCTGACATCAACCCTGTCCAGCAAGGGTTTTGTGAGCAAAAAGCCCTGCTTGATCACTCAGAGAGGGGGAATCTCAAACATGACCTGTGTGAAGGGGCTCCCACACACAAACCCATGGAGAACCGACAGGGACGATGGTGTAAATATCGTGTTTGAAACCTCTTCTGGGCTTCAGAGGTCAGAGAAGGTTCTTCTCCAGGTTTGTTGTGCTCAAAGGGATCAGACAAATAATAATTAACATTTACCGCACGAGCCTTTCGAGAAGATGTGGGTGCTTCCCTTGGTCCCACCATGCTTTCTGTCGCTGCGTCTTCCCTCTACAGCTGTGCTGCACCAGGGACCTGCTGTTGTCCAGGGCACAGCCAACAACGTTCTAGAGCAGCTGGGACAAGTGGAGGTTCTAGAGCTTGTGTCCCCAGGGGGGACAGAGTGCTTCCCAGTGGGTGTTCAGCTGCGATGGGGTGTTTCCGCCGCTGTTTGGTCCCTGCTGTCAGCCACGTGCACTGCAGGGCAGGGGTGTCACCTGCAAACCCCATCGTTGTTGAGGGAACCGGTGTGTGCACCATCCCCGCCCCGGCGCTGCCACCCCCACGCGCGGGTTCCTGCTGTCCCTGCCGAGGACGCGGTGGCCGGGTTGGTTCTGCTGCCTGCAGAGACCACCCGGCGTGATGGAGGGGAGGGTGCTGGGAGCCACCGTTCTCCTCTGCCTGGCAGATGTTCTCCGTGCTTTTGCGATTGAAGAGAAAGGAGATGTGTTCAACAGAATGGCGTGTCCCGCTTTCCTGATGTTTGACAACGCCGCTTACTTGGCTGACATGACCTTCGAGCTCCCCTGCAACTGCAAGCCCCAAGAGGTCTCTTCTGTCGTCTGGTACTTCCAGAAGAGCACGGACAACCACAAAACCACGGTCCTGACAGACTTTGCCGGCACCGTGGTTGTTGACTCAGAACATATCAACGTGAGCAGCAACATCCTGAAGCGTTTCAGCATCCGGATGTTCAGTCTCATTGTCTTCCAAGCCCAGGTGACGGACTCGGGCCACTACCTCTGTGGCACCAAGGACGGGGACTTCTTTTATGGCTACGATGTGGATGTGCAGCCCACCGAGCATGTCAGGGTGGCTTTTTTGGACAGGGGTCAGCATGTCCAGGGCAACTTCACGGATAAGTTCTTCAGCCTCTTCACCACCTTCTGGGACTGGACCAGATGTGACCGCTGTGGGGTGAGGGGTGAGCAGCGGCGGATCGGGCTCTGCTACATGCGGAGCTCCCAGCTGCACCCTCGCTATCGCACCGCCGTGCCCAATGTCACATCCTGCGGCTCGAGGGCTGTCCCCGTGCATTTCCAGCGTGCCGCCCGCCTCCGGAGACCTGAGGTGGCCATCCGAAGCTGCCTGACCCCTTGCCTGAAGGAGGACGCCCCCAAGGAAGGCATGCAGTCCATCTCCAACATCATTTCCAAGCTGGGTGAGAAGCCCTGGATGGCTAAAATCCCCACCCAGTTTCACAAGCAGGTTGCTGGAAGTGTCCTGGTCATCGCGTGCCCAGGAGCCCGGCCCGAGCACGCTGTGGCCTGGGACAAGGACTCTGTCCGGCTCTACCGCTCCCACTACCTCATTGGTGTCAACAAGACCATGCGGGTCTTCATCGACCACGGAAACCACCTGCACATCCGGCAGGTCCAACTCAGCGATGAAGGCACCTACCTCTGCTGGCATGAGGGCAAGACAGTGGCCGCCTTCCAGCTCAGCGTGTTCTACCAGAAGAAGGACAAGCGGAAGTTCAGCGATCCCGAGACGATCTTTGCCATCAAGACCATCGGCCTGAGCTACATCCTCATCAGCATCGTCTTCGTTATCATCCATGTGTACCGCTTCTGCCGGCGGGCGTTCTCCTCCTCTCCTAGGCTATAGCACCTCCACCACGGCCCCAGTGGGTCACTCTTACACCTCGGACCACCTCCTGTTAGACATTTCTAATGTTTTTCACCATTAGAAATCAAAATTCTGCCAGCGCCCGCTCGTCCTCCCTTTTGGGTCAAGAGTGAGACGGTGAAGACCGATGTGGAAAACTCCTCGTGGTGCGGATTGGCACGACTGCGTGGGACAGGAGGGGCTGTCACACCACCACCGTTTGTCCCTGGCTGGCGTGCGGAGGGGTTTGCAGCTCAGTATAGTCCCTTTCAAAGGAATACTTGGAGTTGGTGCAAGATCTTCTGGCCAAGCTCTATAGAGTTCTCGAACCGCATCGGTGATTTATTAGAGCTGTTTTTCTAAGAGGCTGCTAAAAGGATCCACCAAACTCTTTTAATCCAATTAATTCTTGCTTTTCTTACCCTTTTTTTTTTTTTTTTTACTTTTTTTCATTGCTGAGAACTTTGAGTGCCAACGTTTCAAACTGTTCAGTGTTCCTTTCAGCCCTTTAACTGGAGCAAACCCATTTTATTAAAATTTTGGCTTAATTTCTTTCATTTTTGAAGGAAAAAAATATTTTTCAAATTAATCTGGTGATTTTCTTCAGAAATTTCTCTGGGTTTTGGTTGGTTTTTTAACTCACCTGACTCAGGACAGACTTGTGAGTCTATATTTATGCCTGACAAAATTATTATGCAGCTCCTCCAAAGAGGATGGCATCTCTACAGGGTTTAGGTGACCCTTTGCTTGCTCCTGGACATGGAGCAGGACTTCCCCACGGGGCTCATCTCCACTCCTTCTTTCACGGAGGTGGCTTGGGGATTTCAGCTTTCCCAGGAGAAATCCCGCTCTCCAGGAGGGCAGCCTTGAGGGTCCCAGCAATGCTCCGTCTCTCGAACCATGTGGATGGTGTGTAGGATCTCTAATCCTCCATCAGAGCCCTGGGATGGGCTGCCCAGAGAGGTGGTGGAGTCTCCTTCTCTGGAGATGTTCAAACCCCACATGGGCACTTTCCCATGCAACCTGCTCTGGGTGACCCTGCTCTGGCCGGGGGTTGGACTGGATGGTCTCCAGAGGTCCCTTCCAACCCCATGTCATTCTGCGATTCTGTGATCAGCCCCAAAAGCTGCAGCCCGTCCCAGGAGCTTCCCAGGAACCACAGCCTGGGTTTGTACGAGAAAGGAGCTGGTTTGAGGATGGAGAACCCCGAGCAGACCCCTGCTTCTCCTCCTGGGAAGGGGATCTCTCCCACCCCACTGCCGTCCCCCGGCTCTGGAGGGGTCATTCCTGCACCCACCTTCCCCACGTCACAGTCCCTTAGGGGTGTTGACCCACGTTGGCCATGCCTTGGGGTGCAGCACTGGGCGTGCGTCCCCTGGCCAGTTCAAGCTCAGTTTTGGCTCCCAAAGGTTCTCACCACCCCGGCTAATCCCAAATAACCCACGGAACAGGCAGGTTGAGGGCACGACCATGGAAGCACGGTGCTTGCGTTAGCTTTATTTGTCATCTCCAGCCACTGCAGGCGTTAGTGCGTTAGTTCAGTAGCAACGTGGGCTGCAAAGCTCCAGTCAGAGCTGGTACCCCTCCTGGGCCACCACCATCCCACCCCACATGCCACACCTGGGCACCACCCAGGTCTCCTGCCCCTGGGAATGGCCCTTCTGGAGTCGTTAGCTGCAAAGCGTGCTCAGCACCTCAGCCAGGGGACGAGGGGGACAGAGGGGACAAGGGGGATGGCACCCCAGTGGATCCAGTGTGCCCATCCCAAAGGGCTTATGGGGCAGGAGAAGCGCTGCTTGGGTGGTTGCTGCTGTGTTAGGTGGCATCAGGGCAGGTTTCACTCATGGTCAGTAGCTAAATCGAAGGTGGGGACGGGGGCTGCAGGTGGGCACCGAGCTGGGCGATGGCCCTGGGTGACCGGTGGCATGTGCTGGTCTGGGCGGGGGATGGATGGGGGGACAGGGCCACGTGGAGCCCAGGGACAAGGGATTTCTTCTGACCCCGTCTTGAATGCCCCTGGTTGGGGTGGACTTGGGCTCCACGTGCTAGGATTGTGATGGGGCAGTCCTGGCTGCTGTCCCAGCTCCTAGTGTGATCCCAGGTGGGACAGACGGGATGAGGATGGCTTGGTCTATCCTCCCGTGTCACTCCTGGGTCACGGGAGTCACCTCCTGCTCCCAGAGCACCCATAGGTGCCCTGGCATCCTCCTCCTCCTCCTCTTCACTCCCCTCCTCTCCTCTCCATTTTCACCTGCGTGGGACCCCCCCGGGTGAGGGGCCATGGGTCACCCCTCACCACAAGCACCTTGGAGCTGTTTTTTTCCACCACAGCAATGGCAACACCTTGGTGGCAGACACCCACTGGGGGTCATGACAACCCTGTAGCCCATGGAAGCCCATGAGGCCACCCAGCCTGCTGTGCCCACCACTGCTCCAGGCCCACAAACCACCCTGGACACCTCAGCGTCCCCAGGAACCCCTCATTATACCCATTTCATCACCCTTTGATACCATCCTGACAGCACCCTGCCTCTCCATCCTCCTCTTCCTCCTGCTGGGCCTCTTGGTTAAGCCCACCCAACACTTGGTGACAGGGAAATGTCCCTCAGCAGCTGGTACCTTGCACCCTGCAGCCCCCCCAAAGATGCTCAGGGCCTGGGTGCACTGGGGAGATTGGGGTTGGCCTTCTGGACTGGGGAGTGGGCAGCGAGGTGGGATGCAGGGAAAGATGCTCTTGGCACCATCTTCTTGTCCAACCAGTGCGTGGAGATCGAAACAGGATGGACCCTCTCCCTGGGACAGTGCCTGGTCAGACGGGTGTTTCGCCAGCAGCTGGCCCTGAGCAGGGTGTCAGGGGGGTCCCTGGGGCAGGGGGTGACATGAGAGAGGCGAAGGGTGGGGGAGAAGGTGATGCCCCCCACCGAAACATCGCCGGCTCCTCCTGTGACTCCTGCCCAGCCGCGGGGCTCCCTCGCAGCGTCGGGTGGGACCTACGGAGCTACGGCTACAAGCGTGTGGCTGCTGCGGCTCCTCTGCCCTACATCACCTCCTTGTGCTCCTGCTTGGACTCCTTGATCACCTGGAGACAGACGGAGAGAAACCATCACCCCAGGCTTGGGGTCTCCTCCCCGGCTGAGTCTGCCTGGGCTCTGAACGAGCCTGGGGACAGGGACAGTTTTCTCTATGAGCCACCAGGCCCAGCTCCACCATGGTCCAGAGCCAGCTCATTCCATGCTGGCAGGGCACTGGGATCACTGATCCCTAACCAGGATCCTCCAGGGGGCTGAGGGATGGTGGTCCCCACGTGCATGATGACTGACCCCCTTGGGGTGGAGGGGAGGCAGCATGGGTGACACAAATGAGGACTTCCCACCTCTCCATCTCTTGTCTCCACAGTTTTGACCACGATGCTCCTCTTCATGTGGGCTTCTGACACGGATTTAGTGTCCAGGCTGGTCTCTAGGGGACATGGGCAGGACATGGAGGTGACCTGGTGGCCAGGTTATAGCCCTTTCAGCCATGCTCAAAGGAAGGGTCCTAAAGGGAACAGGCTGGGCTGGAAAACCCTGATCCATGGGAGACAGTGGCTCTGGGGACAACACCAGCTTCAGGAACACTGTTGGCCTCAGGGACACTGTTGGCCTTGGGGATGTGGTTGGCACTGAAGATGTGGCTGGCTTTGGGATGTGAGTAGCCCTGGGGACACAGTTGGCACTGGGGGCATGTTTGGCCTTGGAGATATGGTTGGCCATGGGGACATGGGTGACTTTCGGATGTGATTGGGCATATCCCTGGGGGCAGGGTTGGCCCTGGGGACACAGTTGGTCTTGGGGACATCATTGGCCGTGGGGATGTGGGCACACTTCTCCCCCCATCTTGGGAGAACCCAGGAGTCCTGGTTCCTTGAGATTTGGTGGAGAATGTCCTGGTCTCTCTGGATGGGGCAGGAATAACCAAGATGGTGCCTCCTCCCACAGAGCCCCCAGAAGCCACTCCTGCTTTTGCCCCACACGTGGCCATGGCCTCACCTCGGATCTGCAGGTTGGAGAAGCTTTGCATGGGGATGGTGATCCTGCAGGAGCAATAGAGGGGTGTTGGGAAGAGCACCAAGATCCTGCCACCCCCAGGCACACCAGCTCAGCCCTTCCCAGGGCTGGAACAGGAGTGCTGGAGGATAGTCCCCAGGCAGATTGGAGACCCCAGAGGGACCATGAGGACTTGGGTATGGTTTGGGACACGGCCAGGGAGGGGGAGGGGGGCAGGATGGAGCCCCCACTCTGCCATCACCTGCTCTCCTCGCCCTCCAGCAGCTTGCGGTACGTGGCAATCTCGATGTCAAGGGCCAGCTTGACGTTGAGCAGGTCCTGGTACTCCTGCAGGTGCCGGGCCATCTCCTCCTTCAGGCTGCGGATGTCCTCCTCCAGCCGCACCACCGTGTCCTGGTATCCAGCCGTCTCCAGGGCGTAGCGTTCCTCCAGCTCCCGCAGCTGCCTCTCCAGAGACTCATTCTGGGGAGGCCACCAGGGGAGGTGACACTCTCCATGGCCACCTTCTCCCAGGAGCTAGGGGCTCTCCACAGTGCCCGTCCAGCTCCCATCCTTGGGGACCACCATTCCTCCAGCATCGGGTGGTGGTCCCCAACATCATGCCAAGGAACCCCTGTGGTGGTCACAGCTCCCCAAGGCCACCTCGCCCTCCAGCAGCTTGCGGTACGTGGCAATCTCGATGTCAAGGGCCAGCTTGACGTTGAGCAGGTCCTGGTACTCCTGCAGGTGCCGGGCCATCTCCTCCTTCAGGCTGCGGATGTCCTCCTCCAGCCGCACCACCGTGTCCTGGTATCCAGCCGTCTCCAGGGCGTAGCGTTCCTCCAGCTCCCGCAGCTGCCTCTCCAGAGACTCATTCTGGGGAGGCCACCAGGGGAGGTGACACTCTCCATGGCCACCTTCTCCCAGGAGCTAGGGGCTCTCCACAGTGCCCGTCCAGCTCCCATCCTTGGGGACCACCATTCCTCCAGCATCGGGTGGTGGTCCCCAACATCATGCCAAGGAACCCCTGTGGTGGTCACAGCTCCCCAAGGCCATGTCCCTCCCCTTGCACCCCATGGCTGTCACCTACCGAACCCCGCAGAGCCTCCAGGTCGCAGGTGAGGGCCTGGAGCTGGCGCCGGTACTCGTTGGCCTCCTGCTTGGCCGCACGCAGAGCCTCCGCGTGCCGGGCGGCCGCGTCCGTCAGGTCAGCGAACTGCGGGGAGGACACACATGCCGTGGGATGGGACCATGGGGCAGGGATGTGTCCCAGTGGCACATGGCGTGGGGACATGACCCAGCTCTGCTCCGTGGCAGGGACATGGCCCCAGTAGCATGTGGCATGTGGAGAAACGTCCCTGCTACTGCAGGGTGGTGGGACGGTGCACATGGGACGTGTCCCTGGTGCCATGTGTCCCTGGGGACACGTCCCTGCTCCTGTGGCCAAAGGGCACCATGCACATGGGAAGCGCACTTGAGGTGGGACTGGGGACATGTCCCTGTTCCCACAGCAGGAAGGGACACATGGGACAATCCCCAAAGGCACATGTCCTGGGGCCACATCCCAGCTCCCATGGGAGGGACGTGGCCCCAGCAGGACGTGTCATGGGGACACATCCAGCTCCCGTGGAAGGGACAGCACACACAGGATGTGTCCCCAGTGGCACGTGCTGCAGGGACATGTCCTGGCTCTCTGGGTGGAAGGGACAGTGCACGTGGAGCATGTGGCTGATGGCACGTGTTGTGGAGACATGTCCCTGCTCTCTTGGGGTGGTGGGACAGTGGACATGGGACACTTCCCTGATGGCAGGTGCTGCTGGGGACATGTCCTTGCTCTGTGGGTGGGAGAGATGGTGCTGTGGGATGTCACAGGGGACATGTCCCTGCTCCTGTGGGACAGTGCACGTGGGCCATGTCACTGTGAACACAACTCCTTCGGGACCACGCCAATGGGACTCACCATGGGGGACACATTCCTGCTCCCATGGGGACCAAACCAGGACATGGGATAGGAGCAGGGACAATGGGAACACCAAACCCCACGCACCACCACCAGGAAGAACCACCCAACCCCGGGGTGGCCAACCCCAACTCTGAGACTGTGACATCCCAGGAGGGGACAACCACCACCAAGGAGAGCCACCAACCCTGCGGTGGTCACACCCACCCCTGAGAAGGTGACACCCCAGGAGGCCACCCATCCATTGGGTGACCATGTCCCACCACACCTTGGACTTGTACCACTCCTCGGTCTCCTGGACGTTGCTGGCGGCCATGGCCTCGTACTGGCTGCGGATGTCGCGCAGGGCGGCCGTCAGGTCGGGCTTGCTCGCGTCCACCTCCACGTGCACCTGCTGCCGGGCCAGCTGCTCCTGCAGCTCCCGCAGCTCCTGGGGGGACAGTGGGGGTCAGCCCACCCCCCCACAAGCCCTGGGACCCACCTGAGGCCCCCCCCCGAGCGAGGTTACCTCCTCATGGACCTTGCGGAGGAAGGCGATCTCATCCTGCAGGGTCCC